TGGTGTCATCTTCGCCAATCCCCCCACCTTAAAAACAAAATAAAGCCAGGTGTGGTGGTTCATGCCTGTAATTCTAGCTACTCGGGAGGTGGAAGCAGGAGGATATGACTTCTAGGCAAAGGTAGCAGCGAGATCCTGCCTGAAAAACAAAATGACTGGGAACATAGAGTGGCTTAAGTGATAGAGCACTTAGCAAGCATGTCCCCTGAGTTCATTCTCTCTTGCTCTCTCTCTCTATATATATATAGATAATTTATAATATATATATATTTATATACATATATTTATATTATTTATATTTATATAAACTTATTGGCATATGACTATATTTACTTATATATAAATTTATATTTTTGTATAGATAAAACTGCATGTCACTATAACAACATCCAAAACAGATTAATTTGTTATGATCACTATTTGGTAAAGCAAACTTTATCCCCAAAGGAAAAATTAAATTTAAAAAACTTTAAAAAATTTGACGACTTAATTTTTTTGTCATAGGAATGTATAACACCTACAATATGTTAGTAAATTTCAAGCTCCCATATAGAACACTGACATGCAAATGACATCAACAGAGTAGTGCAGAGCCAGGCACCTGCGGCTCACACCTGTCATCCTCGCTACTGAGGAGGCAGACATCAGGAGGATTGAGGTTCCAGCAGCCAAGGCAAATAGTTCACAAGACCCTATCTCGTAAATACCCAGCACCAAAAAGGATTTGCAGAGTGGCTCAAGTGGTAGAGTGTTTGCCTAGCAAGCATGAGGCCCTGAGTTCAAATGCTAGTACCACCAAAAAAATAAATACAGTAATAGAGAAGTAGTTATTTCACTGGAGAGACAGTATCAGAAGCCCAGAAACCATTCACTCTGCTTAATACCAGTGGGCTTCGACCCCAGCCCACTGGTATGATTTTATATTGCATTGTTATACTGCATTGTTCAGCCAGAGCCAAAGTTGAAATTTAAAGGAAGAACAGGTTTTCTCATTCCAGTAAACCATTTCCAAATGCTACCAGGAAAGACATGACATACTCACTGGCCATGAAGATGAATTAGGGAAAGCCCCACCTACTCTCCCAGGTGTTTTTCCATCCATGACTATGGCTCCAGGCTCCAGAATCAGCACAAAGCCACCAAGCCTTCTTGGCTTAACCCTTCCTTAGTTAATATAGACTTCCAAATAGTGTGAGAAGGGGCCTCTAAGGAAAGTCATGCTAGGTAAGCTGGGTAATGTTACAGATGTGGTCCACATTCCTCTGTCACTGTCACCTGTATCCTGTAACCATAACTCATTTCATAATTGTAACCTTGATTTTAGTATTAGCGAAACTATTGGTCCATGTTTCCTCAATTACTACTCTCCTTGCCCTAATAAAACAAAGGAACAAACAGAAAATACTTTTCCCTAACCTAAAATGCTATTTTCAAGATAACATCTTTAAGGAAAATTTAACATTTCACATACAAGAACAAGCTATAGCAACCCAAATGATTTTCTTTGGATAACTGGATATAAGTAGAGACCTTCTTTCTGACCCAGAGTTCACATAAGTAAAGAGATTAAGCCTAAGTCAGACTTTGGGAATGAATCATGCCAGGTACCAGGGCCCCAGGCCTCTGGGGACACTATGCACGAGGACAAAACTGCAAAAAAAAGCGCACAAGAAAATACAAGGAATCCAGTGAAGTTCACAGGTTCCTATGAATTCAGAGTCAGCACATCCTCTCCAATTCCCCTTTCCTTCATACTTTGCAATGTCAACATTTCCGTTTCTCAAAATAGATGCAGTAAAAAGCAGGTGTCTGCTTGTTTCATTGTATATACTTGTTGCTAATAATTAAAACCTTCCAATATTTTTGTTTGTCTGCTCTTTAGTCCTATCTCTGATGCATCAGGCCTGGTTTGGGGTGAAAGGGGACCCCAGTGAAACACACTTGGTCTCAGCTTTAAGAACTATTGCAGCCTTGTTGGACAAAGCTCAGGGCAAAGGCATGCTGGAGAGAAAAGAGCAGGGCACCACAATGAGTCGGGGAAAAAATCATTGATTCAGAATGCAGTGGTGTTAGGGTGTCCAGGAACACTTCACAGGGGTGAGCTCAATGTAAGCCGTGACATTCAAAGAGCTTCACAGAGCAGCATCACTGGGCTGGTGGAGTGGCTCAAGTGATAAGAGCACTTGCCTAGCGAGCATGATGATGCCCTGAGTTCAAATCCCAGTAGTACCAAAAAAATGAATGAATGAATAAATAAACAAACAAAAAAAGCTGGAAGTGTGGCTCAAATGGTAGAGCACTTGCTTATTAGCATGCTTCAGACCTTGGGTTCAATCCTCAGTATTACCAAAAAAAAAAAAAAAAAGAAAAAAAGAAAAAATGAGAAGTAATGAGGTAAAGCAGGATAATCCAGTCCACAAGAACAGCATGGGCAAAAACAGAGAAGGAACAGCCAGGCCTAGGAGACCAAGTGTGAAAATGATGGTGAAGAAATGGGAAATCTCAGATCCTGTGTCTCCTGCAAAGGACCCCGGACAGTTGGCTGTTCTGGACTCTGAAAGCTTTTTCTTTTTTTCAAGACAGGTTCAGATTGCAGGTATGTGTCACTGTGCCTGACTTTTCTGAAGGCCTTCACAAGGTTTGAAAGCTGGTGCAACATGCACAATTTCACAAGAAAAGTTCAGAAACCTCATTCTTCTTCCTCTTCCTCTTCTTCTTCAGCACAAGGTTTGAACTCAGGGTGTCCCAGTTGCTAGGCAGGCACTCTACCATGCCTCCAGCCCTTTTTCTCTGGTTATTTTTTAAAATATTTTTATTAGTATATAACAGTTGTACAGGGTTTCATTGTGACATTCCCATATATGTGTACAATGTACCCCAGTTTGGTTCATCCTCTCCTGTATTCTCCCTCTTCCCTCTCCCCCTTCTTAAAATGACTTTGACATTTATCAGTGTTCCATATTCATAAATGTATAGAAAGTGCCTCAACCACAGACACCCCCCTTTACCCTCTTCATTCACCCTCCCCCTCCCGCTAGGCTAGTGCCCTCCCCTCAGCATGACCTGTTTGAAGTTCCTGTCTTTCATAAGTGTCTGTTCTTTGTTCTTTTCTAGTTATTTTGGAGATAGGGTCTCCCATATATGTCCAAGCAGCCTGTACCACAATCCTATTTTATGCTTCTCCCATAGCTGGGTGACAGATGTCTGCCTTCATATCTAGCTTTTGCCCATTGAGATTTGGTCTCATGAACATTTTTTGCCTAGATTGGCCTGGAACCTTAATGCCCCCAGTCTCAGCCTGCAATGACAGGCGTTGAGCCCCCCAGCGCCCAGCTACAATGTGGTTATTTAGTTTTGTTTTACTTTGGTTTTTGTAACACAAGGTATGGGTTATGTAGCTCAGGCTGACCTCAGACTCACAATCTTCCTGCCTCAGCCTTCCAAGTGCTGGCATTATAGGCAGTGCCACACCACTGGCACAAGTATTCTAAATGTGTTCTCAGGCTTGCCGCTTTTAGCATAACCCAAGCCAGGCTACCAAAATTGATGCTGCTAAGAGACCTGCATTTGCCTACAATCTGATGTTAGTCATCATTTTAACGACTCTGCAGCTGTCTCTAATATGACTACAGATGGTATTTCGAAACATGAAGAATTCACCACCCCATAGAGACAGAGCTTTTTTATTTTCTTTGTTAAATACTTCATTAGAGAAAGGAAAGTTTCATGTCCTCTAAGTCAGAATCTACAAGCTGGACAAATGCACATTTTTTTTAATTTTTAAAATTTACATTTTTAATTGTTTTCACAATGCTAAATTAGAAAAGGAAATTATTTTCATTTTGAAAATGAAATATGTGACTCTAAAAAGACTAAATATATTTTAACTGACTTAGTAATAAGTGACTGAGAGCTTTGTAAAGAATCCCTTAAAAGCCAGGCCTGGTTGTGTATGCTTATAATCCCAGTACTTGGGAGGTTAAGGCAGGATGATTCTGAATTTGAGGCCAGCCTGGAGCACATAGTGAGAATACGCAAATAAATAAATAAATGATATTTTAAAATCTCTTAATCTGGAGCAGTAAATTCAACTATCCTGTCCCTAGCATGTGGGAGAAGGGAGAGGCTAAACTCTCCAGACTTCACAAGGCTGTTGCTTTAAGTACAATTTCAATATTTGGTGTCTTTCGCCAAGCACTAGAAAGAAAAATAAATATTTTCACATGGTTCATGCAACCGACCCGTGGGAAGAAAAGTAAACAGAGGCTGAAGTGTTCTTACTTTTTTCCTTCCCCTTTCACTCCATTCTTTTCCTCAAAGATTTTTTTGATCTAGCCAGACAAAACTGAGTTATCTTCTAAATGTTTTACACTTTTGTCCTGTTTGTTCTTCTAAAGAATATGGAAACTTTGCTTTTGGGGGAGAGGGTGGGAGTGGGGGGTGGGGCTACCTTGCTGGGACACTGTGACAAACTTTGCTTGGCCAAACTTTAGTCAGGCTCTTGAACCTTCTTATAGGCCCATTTGTGCACTGTTTAAGTCAGTTTAGCCAGAACCCCCCTCCACACACTCCTGATTTCTGATATGTTAGCTATCTGATGAGAGGACTCCTCCTCCACCATCCCTCAGGTGGTGTCTAATGACCTTGGCCTGTCTTCAGCACGAATCCTGTTGCTGGAGTTAGCCAGAATCTCCCTGAACTCTGATGTTTCCTCTTCGTTCCTTTCTATTGCTGACCCCGCCCTGTTCCTCGGCCATTAATTTCCACTTGCCCATGCTGCACTCAGTTGAGTCTAGTCCAGTTGACAAATGGGAAAAGGATACTGGGGACGACAGCTGCGCAGGAAACAGCAGAGATGGCCATCCGTACGTGGCAGGTCAAGAGACTGTTCCACTGGGGACACGATTTGTAAGAGATGATGGATTGCAGGAGTGTGTACACCACACCGCAGACAAAAGCCAGCAGGGCGCCCCCATCATGGACCACTGGCACAGCTAACTCCTGCAAACAAGATCACAGGTATGCCATTACTCTGAGGGAGACTGCCAACCTCGGGTCACAAGCATTCACTCATTCTGGGATGCTCCAAGCCACCAGTCTGTGGTCACAGATGCACTTGCCTTTGGAAAATATAGGTGCTTACAGAAGAGTACCAAGAGAAAAGTCTTTCACTGCTGAAACAAATCCCAATAAGATTGCTCTACAGCACACTTGGGCACAAGGGACAAAGAAAAGACATCTACCATGGAAGTGGGAGATCTGAGGGGGTGGGCTAAATTCATCCCCAGTACCACGCCAAAAAAAAAAAAGATTCCAGAGGGTGTAGAGGCTTTCAAGTCTATCACATTTGGATCAAAAATCCCAACTCCAGAAGCCAGGCACTGGTGGCTCTTGCCTATAATCTTAGCTAATTGGGAGGCTGAGGTTGAGAGGATCATGGTTTGAGTCCAGCTAGGCAAATAGTTTGTGAGACCCAATGTCCAAATAACCAGTGAAAATGCACTGGAGTTGTGCCTCACGCAGTAGAGTGCCTATTTGCAAGCACTGAGTTCAAACCCCAGTCACACCAAAAAAAAAAAAAAAAAATTCCCAACTCCACTACTAGACTTGTGACTTTAGTGTCAACCCTCAATCTCTGCATCGGGTAAATGGGCATCACCATTCCTATCTTGCAGGTTTTCAGTGAAAATTATATGACACATTTCATATAAAAATATCATTTTGGGCAGGGGGTGCAGCCCAGTGGTAGAGCACTTGCTTAGCATGAATGAGGCACTGGAACCAATCCCCAAGGCAAGAAAGACAGAAAGATAAAAGAAAGGCAGAAAGAGAAAGAAAGGAAAGAAGAAAGGAAGAGAGAGGGAAGGAACAAAGGAAGGGAGGGAAGGAAGGGAAGAAAGAAAGAAAGGAAGGAAGGAAGGAAGGAAGGAAGGAAGGAAGAAACAAAGGAGGAAGGGGGAGGCAGACTGAATTAACGTTCTGTAATACATCATATCAATTATTCATTTCTTAAGTATAGATTTTATATACTGAGGATAGCCAGCATGGGCATATATATATTCACCAAAGTTATATAGAAAAATATATCCTATGCCTTTTAAAACGTGTGTGTATACCTTTACGTACGTAAAGATTTCAGGATGATAACCACTGAACAATATACTGAAAAATGGATAAAATGGTACATTTTGTGTTATGTGTATTTTTCCACAATAAAACATAATTTCAAGAAAGTATCAAGAAAACTAACTTCCTTTCCCCCCTGAATGTTAGGCACATTTGGGCAAGGGAGGATAAAAGGCAAGTATCTGCTGCTAATGAGTCATTTTCAGGCATAATTAGAGAATTCAGGGACTTTCCATTTTGTTTTCTTTTTATGCTAAGTAAACCAATATCCTGAATTTGTCTACTTTGTGCCCTTCCCCTATTTCTGTTCAGGAATTTTCTTTCTCAGTTCTGGCCAATTCAACATAGCTTTATGATCTGCAAGATTCATGGCCTCCCCTTAACCCTGCCATGGTCAGCTGTATCTGTAAGAGGTCTTTCACCATGGAGATGCATGCTTTCATCAAAGATGTCTTTAGAGCCAGGCACCAGTATCTCACGTCTGTAATCCTAGTTTCTTGGAAGGCTGAGATCAGGAGGATAGCAGTTTGAGGCCAGCCCAAGAAAATAGTTCCAGAGACCCTATCTCCAAAATAACGAGAAAAACATGGACTGGAGGTGTGGCTCAAATGGCAGAGTGCCTGCTTTGCAAGTGCAAAGCCCTGAATTCAAACCTCAGTCCCACCAAAAAAAAAGAAAAAGAAAAAAAAAGTCAGACATGAATTTTGGGGAGAGAATGAGATGAAAACCTGGCATCCTTTCTGGACCCCTTTTCAGAAATTCTCTTGCTAACTTAAAAGACAGTGAAACATCGAGGACACTCCAATACAGAGAAGGCTCACCTTTGGAAATTGTCCTTTCCAAAAGGACATTTCTCCTTTTAAGTTTAATTTAATTGATTCTGAAACAAGGTTCACTATGTCTCTATGTGGTCCAGGCTCAAACCTTCAATCCTCTTGCCTCAGTCTTCTGAATGCTGGAAATATAGACATGCAAAGCCACCACGCCTGATTTTAATTTTATTTTTAACTGACAATTAATAATTATGTATATCTCTGGGATTTTGTGTCAGTTTTGATATGTCTATATTGTGGAATGATTAAATCAAGCTAATTAACATAGACATAGTTTCACATGGTTTTTTTTTGTGGTCAGAATATTTAAGACCACAGTTTCATCAATTTTGAAGTCCACAGTATATTATTATTAATTATAGACCTCCAGAATTTATTTACCGTGTCTGAAACTTTGTACCCTTTCACCAATGCCTTTCATCTTCTCTACCACTCCCTCCCCAGCCCCTGGAAACCACCATTCTATGCTCTATACTTTGACAATTTTTTTTTTAGTTTAAATATCTTTTTTTTTTAGTATTTATTACGCTGGGTTTTTGTTTGTTTGGTTGGTTGGTTTTAGTTTAAATATTTTAGTTGACTTTATTTTCAATTCTAGAATCGGGCAAGCCTGCTTTCCTGCTTTGACTTTTGTAGATCCCACATGTAAGTGATACCATGTGGTATTTGACTTTCTATTCTGTCTCAAGTGACAGAATTTCCAAAAGGAAACTGCTTTAGAGAAAATAAACAAGAAATTAGCAAGGACACACCAGAAAGCTGCCATCCCATCCACCAGTTCAGGAAAGAATTTTCTGTGAACTTCCCATAAATGTGATTTATTGTGACTCAAAAGCAACTGCCTGAGGCTGCCCTTCTCTCTTTCTTGGCTTCACAGCTTGAATTCTTCTCAAGGCTAGCAGCTCAAGTGGGTTTGCTCATGGATGCTGAAAATGAGTTACCGGATATCAAACAAGGAAGTTGTAAAGATACATTTATGGGAACATTGACAAGACAAACACTTTGCTCCCACAGAAGTTTAAAAGATTCTATTTCTGGGTTTTGTAAAGATTTAACCACTTAAGGAAGCCTTAAAGAGAACTGAAAATTCCATCATCTGACATCTATGTGTTTTCTTCTTATGTTTAAAAAATCTGTACGTCTTCCGACGTTGAGTTAGCAGAGGGTGAAGTGATATAAGGTGCATACTATTCCCTCCACGACGACACTGATGGGTTTTGTTGTCGTTTTGGTTTTTGAGACAAAAAAGCCCAAGCTGACCTGGAATTCCTAATACTCCTGTCTCAACTTCCCAAGTGCTAGGATTACAGGCCTGGAACAACACCTGGCCATATCCACACTGTGCTAAATAATTTATAGCGTTCTAAGTCTCCTCTCCCATTTTTGTCTCTTTTTTTTCCATCATGCTTTCCGACGGTAGAACTGTGGGCTGGGCACAGTCACCCCTCAGTAGATGCAGGAGGTTGGTTCCAGGAAACCCCTGTGGACACCAAAATTCATGGATGCTCAAGCTCCTTTTATAAAATCATGCACTATTTGCATGTAACCGAGGCACCTCTTCCTGTACACTTTCAGTCATCTTTAGATTACTTATGATACTTATGTAAATAACTGTATGCTATACTGTATTGTCTAGGAGATAATGACAAGAAAAAAGTCTATGTTTGGTACAGAAGCAATTTCTCTTTTCTGAGTGTTTTTGAGCTGAGATTGGTTGAATCCACAGCTATGGAACCCATTGATACAGAGGGATGACTGTACCTGTTTTTTCCTCAAAGGTATTTCTTCATTTAAAATAATTCTTCAAGCCAGGCATGGTGGCTCATGACTGTCACCCCAGCACTCAGGAGGCCTCAGCTTGGAGGTTACTACTCAGGAGGGGATCAGAGTTTGAGGTCAGCCTGGCCTACATAGTGAGACACTGTCTCAAAGAAAACCTATCAATAATAATAGTAATTGTAATAATAATTTTCCATTGACGATAACTCCTTGCCACAAGTTCTGGACAGGTTACCTCAATTTGAAGTCCATCTCTATCACATATTATGCATGTGATCTTGGGCAAGTATTAGCCTCTCCGAGCCTCTGTTCCACCATCAATAAACAGGAAAGTAATAGAAGCTATCGTAAAAAGTTTTCATTAGAACTGTAAGTTAGTACATAGAATAATTTCATAGAAAAATTCCAATAAATGTCTGTAATTATGAAAAACAGAATGCACACCATCATAAAACATAAGAACATGTCATCAAGAGTTCCATCACATGACAAAGGTCCCATACCACCATTGAAGCTCTTTGTCTTATTTATTCACATAGGGACAATAAGGATAGGAAATAAAATGGAGCCAGAGCAAATTTAGTTCACAAAACACCCTCCACAAAGTCCTATGCCTTTGTTTCTGGGGATGACAAATTTAGCTCTCACTTTTCTTATAGCCAATGTTAACAAGGAAACATGAATAATCACAGGATTGGTAGTAGGACCCGAAGACTATCTCTGGCTTGTAGGTCATCCTGAAGATGTTGTGTAATGTAAAGAAGAGAGCCTTTTGCCCTAACTCCTTGGCAAACACAGGATTGAGTTTCCTAGGACACTTTATTATAAGGGCTTCATTGACAGAACGCATGACAAGTGCAAAGAAAGTGATTCTGTAGGGCCCATGTGGTGCAGGTCAGACTAGGGACACTCTGACAATGGTCCAACTTCATGCAGCGTAGACATTAGCGAATGGTTGGATGGCAGAACATACATGTGGAGGCCTGTGGTTATCAGCGTGTGATATGCCCTCAAGAAGCCCACTGGGAGTAAAGGCTGCCTTCTTTTTGTGAAAATTAGCATCATACAAGAGCCATGCCTCACGGGAAGAAAGTTAAAGGGGTTATCCCTGGCCAGAAGTCAAGGCCCCCCTAGAGGAACTCTATTTTGCTCTCCTGTAGAGACAATAGGTTGAAGGAATGCAGGACCATAATAATAGTAGCCATTAATGATGACCAACAACAGCCATGCTAGCCACCAAAAGCTAGACTGCTGATTACTGTACGCTCTCTCTTTCAACCTTTGCAACAGTGTTGTGAGAAGGGCATTTTCATCATTAGTATTAATTTGATATCTGGCAAATATTTTTAAAATAATAAATATGGTCTCCATAGACAAATTGGTCCTGTGCCTCATGCTTGCTAGGCACTCTACCATGTGAGATTTGAGTCCAGTCCCATGCTTTCTCAAAAATGACTATGCAATGAACAGGAATCCACAAATTAGAATAACGATGAGATTTTCAAACATTTTACAGTAAGACTATATAAGCAGGACTGGGGACATGACTCAAGTGGTAGAGTACCTGTCTAGTAAGCTCAAGGCCCTGAATTCAAACTCTAGTTCCACCAAAAAACCATATATATCAAACAGACTCTACATATAAGTTAACTTGCTCCAAGGGGTCATATATTGGTTCCACAACTAATTAGCTAAACAACCCTGAGCAAAATATTTCACCTTCACAAACTTATATCATCACCTGCAAAAGCACAGATGAGGTGCTCCCTTTGAACAGCAGACACATTCTACAGAATGGTGGAGTGAGCACTCTTACTGCACCATCAGATGACATCAATGTGAACACAGAGCAATGCAAAGCTCACAACACCATTTGGAGCACAAACTCTCACAGTCATCCAGACATACTCCCATCTCTCTCAACTATCAGGCAAGACTGATGTTCACATGTTAAAAATTTGTTTCTAAGAATCAAAGTAATCCAATTTTTGGAAACTCTCTACCAGCTCTCCTGCTACAATTCTGCTTCTTGCTTTCCTACTTCTCTCCTTGTAAGTGCACTCCACCACCCCCAATACCCAAAAAAGCTTTAGGCCATACCTGAAAATTGGCAACAATGCCCATTCCGATACATCCCACCAATCCAAGAACTAGTGACACCAAGTTAAGAACAGGAGTGCTGAAATAGCTGGTTTGATTTTGCTTCTCTACTATTTTATATCTTGTGTACATTGTGGCTGCACCTGAAAAGAAAGGCACTCTGATGAGTTTTCATTATTTGATTTTTTAAAAAAGGAAAAATACAGAAGCACTTTTGAATCACTTTTTTGAAGTGTCCTGATTATGGATGAGAGTGTAGCCTCATGGTGGACCACTTGCCTGACATGCATAAGATCCTGGGTACAATCTCCAGCACTGAAAAAAAAAGTCCTGATTACAAGAGTCTCCACACTGTTCACCTTTGTCCTTCCCCACCTCATCTTACTCTTTGTCCAGTATGTTGTACAGACAGACAGACAGACACACACACACACGCACACACACACACACACCATCTTGGCTGTTATCTTTTTCACACAAATGTTATTATAGTACATGTATTAATCAGTGACTTGCTTTTCTCACTTAAAAGTGTACTATGGAGATTTTTCAAAATCTCATCTCATTATGGTCTACAGTGTGAGGTACCATGTGAATGGTTTATTGCTTTTCTTATGTCTTTTTCCAATACAAACAATATCCAGTGGACAGCCTGGCATGTGAATCTTTGGGCACACTTCCAGGTGTTTCTGAAAAACACCTGGAAGTATTATTGGGTCATAGAGTATGCATGAATAAAATGTTGAGAAGCACTTCCAATTTGTCCCAAGACTGTAACAATTTATGTCCCCATCAGCAGAATTGGAGAGCAATTCTGTGTGCACTGACCTTTTTAGTAACTGTCAATCTAATGAATGAAAAAATTATAGCCTGTTGGTTTAATTGGCATTTCCCCAATCATCAGTAAGATTTAGCAATTTTCATTACGTACACTGGTCACTTGCATTTCTTCTTCTGAGAAGTGCATATTTATAATTATTTTTTAGGCTTATCTATTCTTTTTTTGGGGGGGCAGTACTGGGGTTTGAACCCGGGGCCCTATGCTTACTAGACAAGCACTCTACCACTTGAGTTACATCTCCAACCCTGTCTAGTAATTTTTAATTTGTGGTTGCTTTTTATATATTAGATCCACTAATCTATTGTCTGCTATAAATATAAAATTTCTTCTAGTCTGTTGCATTTCAACTTTGTTTCTCATACCTTTCATCATATAGAAGTTTTAATTTTTTACCTACACAAATCTGTTCGTTTTGATTTCACTTCTGAGTTTGGGGCAAAAACCATTATTTAGTACTTTAATGCCCTTTCCATTTTGCTTTTCATGTTTAGGTTTTTTTATTGTAATAAGGTTTTATGTATGGTGTGCAAAGAATAGTAACAGTATGCTTTCAAATAGCTAGTCAATTAACCAAATACCATTCAATGTTTTGAAGAGTAATTTAGCAATAAAATGTAATTTCCAAGAGAGTAGGGCCTCACCTGTTTTGTTTCATATCCTGACCTCAACACTAAGCATAAGCATAAGCATAAGCACTACTAAACTATTGGAAGGAGAGGACCAAAAGTGGTGGTGAGGTGAAACTTTCTCTCTACCAAGTAGCAAGAACAACTTCCAAAGATACCCACTCATTACAAGTCTATCACATAGTATGTATGTAGACACTGACTGCTGGCTGAATGGATAGCTATCAAAATTTTAGATATGGAGCTGGCAGCATGGCTCAAGTGGTAGAATGAGTGTTTGGCAAGCATGAGACCCTGAGTTCAAATCCCAGTAAAACAAAAAAAATTAGATTATGTATTCCCTTTAACAAGCAAACTTAAGGGAAAAACTCATAAAGATGCACAAAGATATGCTTTAAAAGAATGTTCACTTCAACATTGTAATTTCAAAATATCAGAAATAGCCTAAATGTTTAACACTTGGGGACTAATTAACATTGTGCATCCACACAAGGGATATCATGCATGTGTTAAAAGGATAAGGTAGATTTGTATATATTGACATAATGACGGTCATAACATTTTACTGCGTTTTTTTAAAAGCAAGCTAGCTGGGTGTGGTGTACACTTGTAATCCCAGGAGACTAAAGTAGGAGGATTTTGAGTTTGAGGCCAGCCTGAGCTACATAGTGAGCCTGTCTCACCAAAAAAAGTAGGATGGGCTGGGGACCTGTCTAGCAAAATAAGACCCTGAGTTCAAACACCAGTACCACCAAAAAAAAAAAAAGTAGGCTAAAAACTAATAATTCATCGTAGACTTTTACTAGCTAGGTGCTCTAACACTTGAGAGACCTCCCCAGCCCTAGTAGAGACTATTTTAAATGAACTTATTCATGTCAGTTTATTCCTTTTCTGGAAGCAAAAGTTGTACTTATTGTTTACTTGTGATAATTTCTCTCTTTTATGTGTGGACTCAGCAAGAGGACATGAGGACTGATTGATCCCATACTTCTACTTCCCCTTGCTAACTACCAAAATCTTGGGAGGAGAGAACCACAAACGGGCAATGAGATGAAACATTCTCCCTACCAAGTAGCATGAAGAACTTCCAAAGATGCCCAGTCACTGAGTAGGGTTTCCAGCACCTTCCTTCCTATTCTGCACCAGTAGAGGGACAGAAGGTCCCATGGGTCTTAGCAAACATTTGATTGTTCCATAGACGGAAGATCATGGAAGGATTAAGAGAAAGAGTCCCCATCTGACATCTATATACTCATACCCTCCAGTGTTACATTAACTGTGAAGCAGTACATTACATTCGTTGGCTCATGACAGGATTGTCTTGCATCTCAGGTGCTTTTGAGAAATTGAAAAGAAAAATCATGTTGGAGACAAACTGTTTCCCCATTTCACCTTTCCCATTTCTCTAATAGATCATTGGTTCTCAAACTGTAGCGTGCTTCCAAGTCCCCTACAGTGCTTTTTATGTCCCACAGTGCTGGATGTCAAACCCAGAGCCTTGTGTGTGCCAGGCAAGTGCTTTACCACAGAACCACACACCCCCCCAGTGCTTAGTTACAACACCGATTGAGTAGATTCTGTAGTATGGCCCAGGATCGTGGGGACTAACCAGGACCCCAGGTGATTTTCACGTAACCTGCTTTCAGAGCACACTTTGAGAAACAGTACTTTGGCTTACACAAGTGCCTTGGTTATAACCCATGTGATATTGCCACATAATAAAGTGAATAATTCTATAATATGCCCATAAATAATTTTGGATTTCTACATATTTTAGTTCCTCAAAGTAGGTCAAAATCCAGTTGCAAAGGTTGTGCTTTTTTTTTAAAAAAATGCATGAACTGTAAGTAACATTTTACTGCACTTGAGACTGACTTTTTCATTGGCTTATAATTGTGCACTTACCAAGAAATGCAGAGAAGTTTATCATAAATCCAAAAATACCACTCTCTGGAGGTGTTGTTCCTGTATCACTGAGAAAGAGAAAAAATGTCTAACTTACTAAAAACAAAATTCAATTCAGACCACTGTACATGTAATTGGCAAGTTTTATACTGTTTCTTCTAGGTATTTAGTTGTTTTGAATCCTGAAGGTGTGGCCTAAAGTATTTTCATTTTGGATCTGTAAAGCTTAAAATTCATTTTTCTACCATGAAAGATTGCATTGAATTTGTTTTTCATAGTAAAAGGCTAGAAAAATGTTTAAGATGAATGATGTTACTGTTTCTCAAATTATCAAACCTGATGAACTTGGCATATACCCATTCTCGGGAAAGAATTGGGTGTGACTATTTTGAAAATAAAAATAATGAAAAATCATGTTTAAAATTCTATGATTGAGACCACTAAATGCATATAAACACCTCACTTTAATCTTTTCATGGATGGATTTATGCACAAATTTTATCCTACTGAAAATATAATAGTGAAAAGCTGAGTAATATTATCAATCTGCTTTTAACCAAACTTCACTGAAACAATACATTATTGAGGTTCCATTAATTATGGTAAGTTATTTTAACAAAAAAGAAATTTCTATGAAAAATATCAGGTAATTAGATGATTTGAAAAGTAGTGTTTGACATGTTCTATTTTCTATTCATTAATTGCCAAGTTTTAAAGCTTTACATTTTCAGGCTGCTCTCAAGTTGCTTATCTAGTTTAAAACCAATGGCAAAAGAGCTCCCAACATGAAACAACTTGTACCTGTTTTGAGTGTTTCCACATATAAAAATAGCTCTGAAACTTATGTGTTGAAAACTAATCACGTTGAAAAGATGCACTTCAGAGTGTCTGAAGAATTCCACAAGAAGCCCGCATGTGCTGAAAGCAAGAACTTTTAAGTTTTGCGAATGCTTAATATTTAAAAAGTTACACAGGATAGAGCAGGGAAAAAATGAGGCATGGGAAACAGAAGCCAGGAATTGAGAGATAAACATTGTATTAATGAATAGTGAATACCTTGATTTAAAGTGTACAGGCACTACTTCCTTTTCTTTAAGCCTCATACTCCCTCACTAAGGTACAACATGTAGTATAAAAGAAAAAAAGCTTTCTCCCTTTAAACTTGGCTGCTCACCCAAATGGGTACTATATTCTGGGAAATGAGTGAGAATATCTTAAAGACACTTATCCTGGTGTGGGGGGAAGTTGGTAAAATGACTCCTTTGATCAGAAAAGTGTTTGCAAAGAAGAAAAAAAATCTTAAGACTTAAAAGGAGCACCTGATGAAACCCATCCTTTTTTCTCAAGAAAAACAGACATCTCTATCACACTGACCCAAATTTGATAAACTGACCAGACGTAGCATTTCTGGGCCCAACTGATAATGTCAAAATAGTGTAACAGCACGAGTAACTGAATTTAGCATGTGTCCAGGACAAAGGGGAGCACTTAAAATGAATTTAAGCCAAACCCTTGACCCACTTTTTCACCATAAATAACCCTGTTATAGCACTCAGTGTGCCTCTTACCATCTATGCCTGTACCCATATCTGGGTGTGTACTGTCTTTTGCTTTGCTTTACTCATAAACTTTTTTGGTCTCTACTTTGATGTGTCCTAATTTTCTTGCAGTAACATCATGAACCAGGTACTCAAGGGCCAGGTAGAGGCCTTCTTCCTTTTGGAGACCTCAGTAAGAACCTGAAAGGGAACTGAATATACCCACTTCTCCTGGGTTTTCACACTATAAGAAGATTGAAGAAAAGGCTACCCAATGTGCAAGATGCCCTTCTGGGCACAGGGCTGAATTGGCCATGAGAATGGGATAAGAACACCAGTGATAGGAAAAAGGTAGAGGCAGCCCATGCCCCAAGGTGGCACTTTTCCCAGATAATTAAGTCTGACAGAAGAACCAAGCTTTCTCATGGCCTCAGGATATGCAAAAGCAGCTACCAGGAGTCATCCTAGAGTACTTGTAACACATCAATCACCTCAATTACATGTCAGGGACAGGAGCTAAGGTACACATGTGCTAGGAAGAAGACTGTGCATGTTTGTGATGAGAAGGAAATGGAAGGGGGGGATTAGGAAAATAAGTAGCTGAGGGACAAAGGCATTCTAACAGGAGATTAAAAAAAAAAGACTTATTGATAGCAAACCAGGACATGTGTCAAAAGCCCAGGTGACATCAAACATGTGATATGAGGACTCAAAATTTATTCTTGTTTAACTGTATGTTTCAAACTACACAGGTACAGCTGGGAGTGTAGCTCAGTGCTAGAATGTGTGCTTAACATGAGTGGAGTTGTGGGTTTGATCCCTGGCACCAAAAGTAAATAAATAAAAAGTAAACAATGAGTAAATAAATAAAACCATACATAGGACAAAAGGCACTTTATAAATGACTATTCCACATGTATTTATTGGATGAATGGCTGAGAGTACTGAAAAAAACTAATATTTACATATATAAACGCCAACACAGTGGTTGTGGGAGACTTTAACACTCCATTATTATCAATAGATAGGTCATCCAAACAAAAACTCAATAAAGAAATCCAAGATCTAAAATATGCAATAGATCAAGTGGACCTAGTAGATGTCTACAGAACATTTCATCCAACCTCTACACAATATACATTCTTCTCAGCAGCCCATGGAACCTTCTCCAAAATAGATCATATCCTAGGGCACAAAGCAAGCCTCAGCAAATATAAGAAAATAGAAATAATGCCATGCATACTATCTGACCACAATGCAGTAAAAGTAGAACTCAACAACAAAAGTAAAGACAAAAAACATGCAAACAGCTGGAACTAAATAATCATTACTTAATGAAGAATGGATCATGATGCAATAAAAGAGGAAATTAAAAAGTTCCTAGAAGTCAATGAAAATGAAAACACAACCTACCGGAACCTATGGGACACAGCTAAGGCAGTCTTGAGAGGAAAGTTTATAGCATGAGTGCATATATTAAAAAGATTGAAAGATCCAAATCAATGACCTAATGATACATCTCAAACTCCTAGAAAAACAAGAACAAGCAAATCCCAAAACAAATAGAAGGAGAGAAATAATAAAAATAAGACTGAAATCAATGAAATAGAAACCAAAAAAACCATACAAAGAATTAATGAAACAAAAAGTTGGTTCTTTGAAAAAATAAACAAGATCGATAGACCCCTGGCAAACCTGACTAAAATGAGGAGAGAAAAAACCCAAATTAGTAGAATCAGGAATGCAAAAGGGGAGATAACAACAACACATGGAAGTCCAGGAAATCATCAGAGACTACTTTGAGAACCTATATTCAAATAAATTTGAAAATCTTAAAGAAATGGACAGATTTCTAGATACATATGATCATCCAAAACTGAACCAAGAGGAAATTAATCACCTGAATAGACCTATAACACAAAATGAAATTGAAGCAGCAATCAAGAGTCTCCCCAAAAAGAAAAGTCCAGGACCTGATGGATTCTCTGCTGAATTCTATCAGACCTTTAAAGAAGAACTGATACCAACCCTCCTTAAACTGTTCCACGAAATAGAAAGGGAAGGAAAACTGCCAAACACATTTTATGAAGCCAGTATTACACTTATCCCAAAACCAGGCAAAGACACCTCCAAAAAGGAGAACTATAGGCCAATCTCCTTAATGAACATTGATGCAAAAATCCTCAACAAAATAATGGCAAATCGAATTCAGCAACACATCAAAAAGATTATTCACCACGACCAGGTAGGCTTCATCCCAGGGATGCAGGGGTGGTTCAACATACGAAAATCAATAAACGTAATAAACCACATTAACAGAAGCAAAGACAAAACCACTTGATCATCTCAATAGATGCAGAAAAAGCCTTTGATAAGATCCAACATCATTTCATGATAAAAGCTCTAAGAAAACTAGGAATAGAAGGAAAGTTCCTCAACATTATAAAAGCTATATATGACAAACCTACAGCCAGCATTATACTTAACGGAGAAAAATTAAAACCATTCCCTCTAAAATCAGGAACCAGACAAGGATGCCCACTATCTCCACTCCTATTCAACATAGTACTGGAATTCCTAGCCAGAGCAATTAGGCAAGAAGAAGGAATAAAAGGAATACAAATAGGTAAAGAAACTGTCAAAATATCCCTATTTGCAGACGACATGATCCTATACTTAAAGACCCAAAAAACTCTACTCAGAAGCTTCTAGACATCATCAATAGCTATAGCAAGGTAGCAGGATATAAAATCAACATAGAAAAATCATTAGCATTTCTATACACTAACAATGAGCAAACGGAAAAAGAATGTATGAAAACAATTCCATTTACAATAGCTTCAAAAAAAATCAAATACCTAGGTGTAAACCTAACAAAAGATGTGAAAGACCTCTACAAGGAAAACTATACACTTCTGAAGAAAGAGATTGAGGAAGACTATAGAAAGTGGAGAGATCTCCCATGCTCATGGATTGGTAGAATCAACATAGTAAAAATGTCGATACTCCCAAAGTAATCTACATGTTTAATGCAATTCCCATCAAAATTCCAATGACATTCATTAAAGAGATTGAAAAATCTACTGTGAAATTTATATGGAAACAAGAGGCCACGAATAGCCAAGGCAATACTCAGTCAAAAGAAAATGCAGGAGGTATCACAATACCTGACTTCAAACTATATTACAAAGCAATAACAATAAAAACAGCATGGTACTGGCACAAAAACAGACATGAAGACCAGTGGAACAGAATAGAGGATCCAGATATGAAGCCACACAACTATGAGCAACTTATCTTTGACAAAGGAGCTAAAAATATACGATGGAGAAATAGCAGCCTTTTCAACAAAAACTGCTGGGAAAACTGGTTAGCAGTCTGCAAAAAACTGAAACTAGATCCATGTATATCACCCTATACCAAGATTAACTCAAAATGGATCAAGGATCTTAATATCAGACCCCAAACTCTTAAGTTGATACAGAAAGAGTAGGAAATACTCTGGAGTTAGTAGGTATAGGTAAGAACTTTCTCAATGAAACCCAGCAGC